TTCTTATTATATCTACTCCATCACCATATATATATCATTTGATAAATGATTATCTATCTTAGAATAATTTAAGAAGCGTTTCAATTTAAAGTGAAACATGCTTTAAAGCATGTTTTATAAATAAAATATGTTGATATTAAAAATGATATTGTACCGGATTAAATTGCTCAGCGTTAAATCCAGTCACCAGAAACATAGCATTCGAGCATATTGGTTGAGTAATAGCTTTTTCCGAGCATACTATTTGTTGAATTGCGCTTATGAAATCGTTCTTAGGATTGAATTCGTTATAACCGATTAAATTCCAGAAATACTGCAAATGGTCAAACACTGGAGATATTTGAGATCGTCAGTATCTTTTTTAAATTCAATCTCATTTGTAAATTACATACATCGATGGTAACAGAGAACTGTGATATCGCCTGTATCATGGGACTCTTCATTCTACCGCAATAAGCGATTGGAGCCATGGCATACATTACTTCAATATTTTTTTGATATTCAGGCCGTTCTGCTGCCATAACGAAGAAAGCGGTAGTACCCTGGCTGTGTCCCACGTAAAACATTTTTTCACGACCAGTGGTCTTTACGACATGATCTATCATTGCGGGAAGATCACGCGTGCCGATCTCATGCCAGCTACAATGTGCAATAAGAATACGCATGAATTACTGTGTTTATTTTAATTAAACAAAGACAAAATTCAAGATCAGAAAATATTATGCTTATTAAACTTTAGTTATTATTGTTTGTATTGAATTTTTATTCGATAATATTTTTATTTATAAAGATATGTTGGTTTTTATATAATTTATTCCATGTGTTTCTGTAATTGCAAAAAATCCAAGATAAAGTATAATTAAGATAAGATAATAATTGATTAAATATTTTTCTGATAACAGATTTTCAACAAAACAACATTTTTTCCTATATAAATATAGATAATATGGATTTACGACTGAGATACTTCTTTTGAATTATTAGTTTCTTGTTAGATCTTCTTTGTTCGCACGTATAAAATAACAAATAATCTCTATTGAAAAATTTACTCCATTACAATAAAAATATATTTTAGCATTTTATTCTTTCAATAAAATTTTAAATTAGATTTATGGAAATGGAATTTAACTATAAAAATGGAATTTAACTATAAATGGAATAAAACTATAAATTATATATGAAATGGAATTCAATAAAATTAAATAAATCGTTACAATTTGGACATTGTCATAATGAGCATAATTATGAAAATCGATTATATCGATTAAATCGATAATTATATCATTATTATGATACATTTATTATATTCTATGTAATTATAATGATTAGCAAATTCATGAGATGAATAATAAGTATTAACTATCATGTGTTTATTCGTGTACATATTTTGTGTACATATTTATTATTTGTATGCTAATTTAATTTTTATATTTAAACATAGACGAATGTTGTAATTGTTTTGTAATTTTTTTTTGTATTTTGTTTTATTAATACAAATGCGTAAACGTATTCATTTTTTTTTTTACCTGAAGTTCCAATATTTCTTTTGTGAAATTCTTTGTTTCGTATGTGTATGAGCGTACGGATTGCCACGCGCGTTACCCATCCACACATCGTATCCCTCATCCGCCAGAACAAACGCTGAACGTAAATAATATTTAAAGAAATAGTTCCCTTCATTTAAAAATTGAAACGTTTTAAAATCGAGGCACGCTTTCCTTACCTAAACTTCTTTCACGACCAGAAATAACCCAAGCCGATGAGTCGCATAGAAGGCCGTGCATCACAAATACAACGAGTTTTTGTACATTCGAATCGGTAGAATTAGCTCGTCCTTTTATTCGATGCATTTCCAAAATATAACCGTCGGAAGTAGTCACTTTATGCAACTCACCCTCGTAACCGTATTTGGCTACTAGTTCCAGCTATACAATATATACATATATATATATG